AGGGCATGGGGTTTGGGGTGTTGGATGGGAATGTGGTTGGGGGAAATGGGGTGTTGAAGGGAAAATGGGATGTGGGGGGGTAAGGGGTTCCGGGGTGCCCCGAGCGTGGAGTGACACACCGTGCCCCCCAGGGGTTTGCTGCAGAGGTTGTTGCCCTTCACCCAGTACCAGGAGTCGGAGGAGCTTCGCTGGGGAGTCGTGGGAACCCTCCGGAACTGCTGCTTCCAGCACGGTGAGGAGACTGTGGGGTGGGCATGGAGCTGGGAAGGGCTGGAGGTGTCCAGGGATGATGGGATGGAGCTGGGAAGGGCTGGAGGTGTCCAGGGATGATGGGATGGAGCTGGGAAGGGCTGGAGGTGTCCAGGGATGATGGGATGGAGCTGGGAAGGGCTGGAGGTGTTCAGGGATAGGGAGGTGATCATGTCCATGGGAAAATGAAATCCATGGGGAGATGGTGCCCATCAAGGGATGGTGTCCATGGGTAGTTGATGATGTCCATGGGAAGATGGTGGCCATCAAGGGATGGTGTCTGTGAGGAGATGATGATGGCCATCAAGGGATGTTGTCCATGGGGAGATGATGATGGCCATGGGGAGATGGAGTCCCTCAAGGGATGTTGTCCATGGGGAGATGATGATGGCCATGGGGAGATGGAGTCCCTCAAGGGATGTTGTCCATGGGGAGATGATGATGTCCATGGGAAATGGGTGGCTGGGACCTCCCCAGGGGCCCTCCCAACATCTCCCATTGGCACCACTGGGGGGGCCTAGGTGGTCTCCCTGACCCCTTGTCCCACCCAGAGCACCATGAGTGGCTGCTGAGCGACGAGGTGGACATCCTGCCCTTCCTCCTGCTCCCGCTGGCAGGTCCTGAGGAGCTTCCTGAGGAAGAGATGGAGCGTGAGTGGGGCACGAGGTGGCACCTGGGGGACCTCAGGGGGTCCTGTGCCCCCTCTCAGGGTGTCCTGTCCCCACAGAGCTGCCCCTGGACCTGCAGTACCTGCCCCAGGACAAGCAGAGGGAGGAGCGGGCGGACATCAGGAAGATGCTGCTGGAGACTATCATGTTGGTGGGTCTCAGGGGGGTTCTAGGGGAGCCTCGGGGGTGAAAAGGGGGGTCAGGTGCTCCAAGGGGTGTGACCTCAGGTAGAAGTGGTCTTGGGGGGGTTCCAGGAGGATGTTTGGGGTTCAGCAAGCACTTGGTGAGGCTCAGTGTGGAGTTGGTGAGTTTAGTGTGGACTTCTGGGGTTCAAAAAGGTCTTGGGGGGGTTCAGTGTGGACTTGAGGCTCAGTGAGAACCTGGTGGGGTTCAGCAAGGTCTGATGGGGTTCAGTGAGGGACTTGGTGAGGCTCAGTGAAGACCTGGTGGAGTTCAATGAGGACTTGGTGGGGTCAGTGAGGACTTTTGGGGTCCAATGATGATTTGGTTGGGTCAAACAAGGACTTGGTGAGGTTCAATGTGGACCTGGTGGGGTCAGTGAGGACCTTTTGGGGTTCAGCAAGGACTGGTGGGGTTCAATGAGGACTTGCTGGAGTTCAGTTTGGACTTTTGGGGTTTAAAAGGTCTTGATGGAGTCAGTGAGGATCTGGTGGGGCTCAATGAGGGCCTGATGGGTCAGTGAGGACTTTAGGGGTTTGGTGAGGCCTTGGTGGGGTCAGTGAGGACCTTTGAGGTTCAGTGAGGACTGGTGGGGTCAGTGAGGACTTGGCGGAGTTCATTGTGGAGTTTTGGGGTTCGAAAAGGTCTTGCTGGGGTCCAATCTGGACATAGTGGGGTTCAGTGGGGACTTTTGGGGTTCAATGAGGACTTGGTGGGGTTCAGTGAGGACCTCTGGGGTTTAGCAAGGACTAGTGGTGTTCAATGAGGACTTGGCAGAGTTCAGTGTGGAGTTTTGGGGTTCAGTGAGGACTTGGTGGGGTTCAGCGAGGACTTGGGCTTCAGGGAGGACTTTTGGGGTTCAGCAAGAATTGGTGGGGTCAGTGAGGGCTTTCGGCGTCCAATGTGGACATGGTAGGGTCCAATGAGGACTTGGTTGGGTCTAACAAGGACTTGGTGAGGTTCAGGGAGGACTTGGTGGGGATCAGTAAGGGCTTTTGGGTTCAGCAAGGACTTGGTGGGGTCAGTGAGGACCTTTGGGGTTCAGCAAGGACTCAGTGGTGGCTTCCCAGTCTGAGACAGACCCCATAGGGATAGTCCAGTGAGGAGCCACCAAGGTGGGCTGGAGAACCTCTGCCGTGGAGCCAGGCTAGGAACGTCCACCTGGAGAATAGAAAGTCCAGGGGGACCTCAGAGTCCCTTCCAGTGTCTCAAGGGGCTCCAGGAGAGGTGAGAGGGACTTGGGACAAGGCCTGGTGGGACAGGAGCAGGAGATGTCCTCAGCCCTGCCCACATGTCCCCTTGGCAGCTAACGGCCACCAAGCCTGGACGGAGCGTGGTGAGGTCCAAGGGCACCTACGTGGTCCTGCGTGAGCTGCACCGCTGGGAGCAGGACCCGGAGGTCCTCAGCACCTGCCAGAAGCTCATCCAGGTGAGCTGAAGATCCTGGAGCTGCACAGGAGCTCTGTCCTTCCTCCCATCCCTCCCTGGCTGGAGGAGGAGGATGATGAGGTCCCACCAAACTGTGTCCCCACCCAAAGGTGCTGATTGGGGATGAGCCTGGGCCAGGGATGGAGAACCTGCTGGAGGTGACAGTCCCTGAGGAGGTGGAGCAGCAGCTGCAGCACATGGACAGGGAGGAGGAGGAGGAGTGGAGGAGGAGGAGGAAGGAAGAGCAGCAGGAGGAGACACCAGAGGCAGCGATGTGTCCTGAGGGGACGTCACAGTGACACATGGAACGTCCTGAAGGGACATCATGGTGAGATGGCACCATGTCCTGAGGAGCCATGGCAGGGACACAGTGCCAGGGCCTGAGGGGACATCATGGTGAGATGGCTGAGCATGAATCCCCAGTACTATGGGAAAAGCTTTAGATCAGCTAACACCACTTGGAAAAGAACATGTTTGGCTTACTGATGGGTCAGCAAAACGGACAAAGGGAAACAGTTCTGAAAGTTTTAGGACCAGCAGGAGGGATAAAGAGCAGCCAAGATGCTAAGTCTGTTCAGTTTCTGTGCCTCTAAAGCAGGAGGGTTTCGATGGATGCTGTTTGTATACTGTTTCCTGGTCAGCAGCTCATGGGCTCAGCTACCTGGTTGCCAGCCTGGGCAGCCAGAGACTGGAAAATCTCCTAGGATGTCTGGGGAAAAGAACTATGAATGGACATTTGGGAAGTGCTGCAAAGAACTAAAGGGACTGTATTTCGTGTTGGTGCTCGTGGGAGCACAGAGCCACTAGAACATCTTTATAACTCTGCTCAGACAACTGGGCAAAGACTTCCCAGGCTGGCCTGGAGTTCCCTCAGAAGGAGGCTGAGGAAGGCTTGGCGAAATGGGCACACCAGAAGTGTGGGCACCTTACAGGTGGGCTCTGGAGCGTGGCAGTGACTCGGTCTGCTGCTAGCTGGAGTTGCTCAGTGCCCCAAGTGCCAACACACACATGAGCACCTGGTGCCAAACACTGACAGGACATTTGGGGAGAGGAAACTTCCCTGGGCAAATCTGACAAAAGGATTACAGTGGAGCTCTGCCCCCAGACTGGGGGGTTAATAGAGCTGTACTGCTGCAGGTACATCTTCTGGATGTTTGATTGCTCACCCATGTGAGAAAGTTAAATGAATCCAGGTGTTGCTTCCAGACTGATGACAAGGGAAAGTGGTAAAACCGATAATGAAGGAGATGAGGAAATTAGCCCACGTACCAATCTGAACAGGGAAGGGTTGGGAGCTGGACGTGTTTCCATGGCTGCTGGGGGGGCAGGGATCAAACACACCCTTTTTTATCTCCTTTGTGGGCTGCTGGTCGATTGTTCATTCCTTGTTTCATTCCTTGTGGCCTAAAATCGACTCAGCACGTGTTCTGCCAATTGATGGGGACGACAGAAACAGCACAGACGCCAAAGGAAAGAACAGGATAATTCTACTCTTGGTGTTTTAAGATAATAGAAAAATGAACAAAGTCTTTACATATAGGGTTAGCTTACTAAGCTCTAATCCAACAGCACAAACACCAGCCAAGGCAATAAGAAAGCCTATTGATTTGGCCCAGAGAAGCTGGAGCCTCTGGCAGTGACTTTGGAGGTCTCAGCTCCGAGTGGACACACTGTGTAGGACTTCCCAACTGCTGGGAAAGGCTCTCCAGACCCTCGGTGCAGCCAGGGGCTCCCAGTGACTGCGGGGCTGGGGGAGGAGAAAGTATTGGAGCAATTGATGACATAGCATTCTTAATTGCTGTTGTCTCCTGTATGTAGCAGTGATAGGTGCACTGCTTTGCTTATTGTCTGTTGTTTGTGCTGCTTGACTTAGGGCTCTGCAAACTGTATAAATACTTGCATGGCTCATTTTTCTCTTACCTTAAACACCAGTGGTAAAATAAGCCTTAAGCCTATTCTTTCCGTTAGCGTCTGTGTTGTTTCTGTTGTCCCCATCAGTTAGAATATCTGCCTGGGAGATGTCCTGGGAGACGCTGCCTTATTCCAACCCGTTTCGAGGTCAGCATCCCTGGTGCTCTCCTTCGCTCCGGGACAAGAACTGGACTTCTTGTTGCTCTCTTTGCTACTCTTGCCTAATGTATTTCTTCTTCTTCTTGTAAATTACCACTCAGTTGCTTCCGTAACCCACCATACCTGCCGTCCAGAGGGATGGAACAATGCAGACCCCATGGAGTTCAGCAAAGTGAAGTGCAAGGTCCTACATGGGGGTCATGTAAAATGACCCAGCAATGCAAGCTTGCAGCCCAGAAAGCCAAACATATCCTGGGCTGCATCAAAAAAGAGTGACCAGCAGGTCAGGGGAGGTGATTCCACCACTTCACTCTGCCTTTGGGAGACCTCACCCGGAGTATACTGTATCCAGCTCCAGGACCCCCACTATAAGAAGGACATGGACCTGTTGGAGTAAGTCCAGAAGAGGCCACGAAGTTGCCAAGAGGGCTGGAGCATCTCCTCTATGAGGACAGCCTGAGGGAGCTGGGGCTGTTCAGCCTGGAAAAGAGAAGGTTGTGTGGAGCTGAAGGGGCTCTGGGGAAGCTTCGAAGGACTCTGTGTTAGGAACTGCTGTGACAGGACAAGGGGCAACGGGTACAAAATAAAAGGAGGAGTTTAAGTTAGATATTAGGAAGTTGGTTTTTTTGCTGCGCGGATGGTGAGACACTGTCCCAGGTTGC